TAAATTCTCAGTGTAAAACATGTCCCAATTCTCAGTGTAATTTTGTGCTATATTTACACTGTGATTTTGTGCTATTATTGTTGTGTAATTGTCCCGTAGTTTCAGTGTAATACACAACTTAGTTTCAGTGTAATCTTCACGATAACTTCTGCATAATTGTCCCTTAGTTTCATTGTAATATGCAACTTAGTTTCATTGTAACTTAGTTTCTCTATAACTTCAGTGTAATTCACTGCATAGTTTCAGTGTAATTTTCACTAGAATTACTGTGTAATTTGACCAATAGGTTGTTTGCAATGTTCCATCACAGTGTAATTTGCGCCAAAGTTACAGTGTAATTTTCATTGTAACTACTGTGTAATTTGTGCCAGAGTTTCAGTGAAATTATGATGGCACTATTACTGTGTAATTTGTAGTGTACTTACACTGTAATCTGTCCATTTTCAGTTGATTGCTTGTAGTGTAATTCTTGTAGTGTAATTACTGTGTAATTTGTATGTAGTCTGCCCATTTTACAGTGTAATTACTGCTAGAATTGCTTTGTATTTGTAGTGTAGTTACACCGTAATGTGCCCCTTTTTTACAGAGTAATTATACTATAACGGATTTGCTATTTTTCAGTCGACTGATTTACAAGGCCATCGTTCAAATCTTTGTCCGTCCGTTGTCGCGCAGAGATTCGCGCTCGATCGCCCTGTCCTGTGTGGTTTTCGGGTTGGTTTTATTTTTTTAGCCCGTTTGCGCTGCCCCGCCCCACCTGGACAGTTCACTGTTGGTTTTTATCCCTGTGTAGTCCCCGTGTAGGATTTCGCTGTAGTGGAAGTAGATGCAACAAACCGCTGGATCTATGTGGATGTTGGAGTGCTCAATGTAGTTGTTCAGGTGTAAGTGTGCAAGTTGGTTGTCAGTGAGTTATAGTGATTGTGACTGGATTTTTTCAGCTAATCCACTCGACATTAGATGTGGTGCTGGTGTTTTTAGCATTTTTGGATGTGGGATGCATGTGTTTAGTTTGCTAGTTACCCTGGATTTTACCTAGTAATTCCAGTGTATTTGTCACACCTTTTGAGTTGATTTACATTGTATTTTTTAGTGTATTTTTGAGTTGATTCCCATCATTTTTCAGTGCCAATGATTCCAGTGTAATCTAGTGTATCTACAGTGTAATTTATCCCAGTTTTACAGTGAATTTTCACCAACAACACCTTTTGAGTTGATTTACATTGTATTTTTTAGTGTATTTTTGAGTTGATTCCTATCATTTTTCAGTGCCAATGATTCCAGTGTAATCTAGTGTATCTACAGTGTAATTTATCCCAGTTTTACAGTGAATTTTCACCAACAACTCCAGTGTATTTTACCCAATAATAGCGCTGTAATTTGTCATCGGATTTAAATGGACTGTAATTTGAATGTAATTATAGTGTACTACAGTGTATTTGTCATCGGATTTTAAGTGGACTGTAATTTGATTGTAATTACTGTAGTATCTGACTTACAATGTAAACTTAGTGTAGTTGCACTGTAACATTATTTCATAGGGGATTTACAGTGTAATTTTCAGTTTAATTGCACTGTAAGTATTGATATCTGATTTACAGTGTAAATTCGGTGTAATTCCACAGTAATTATGAGTGTACTCACAGTGACAATTACGTCAGTGTAATTACTCTGTAATATGTCCCAATTCTCAGGGTAATATGCCCCAATTCTCAGCGTAATTTTGTGCTATATTTACATTGTAATATGTCCCAATTCTTTTTCAGTAACGACCATCACAACTTTGTAATCTGATTTTGCAATGGCAGTTGTCTTTCTTATAGGCACTACACTTTCCTTTTCCACTTCTTTTGTCTTGCCATACTTGTTGCATTTCATAGTAATTCTTGTAATTTCATTGTTCCTTTTCTTGCTCACTGTTCTTGATGCCGCGACAGTAGCCACTGGAACCCAGCTATCTTTTAGTAAAAGTTGAAGTACTCCTGCGCTTCTTCCTTTGTTTTGAACTGCATGCCAAGTTCTGGCTTGAAATTGCTGCTGATGTTCATCAAATTTCCCTCAGATGCGGCAGCCTCTTTATTTTGCAGGAACATCTCAATGTCATCTTCATCATAAATGCATCTTCTTCATCAAGGGAGGCATTGCTTTCAGGTTGTTGATGCAAGTCCCCTTGTTCGCCCCTTTCTTCTTGATTGTTTTGATTTCTGTTAGTTTTTGCTGTTGCTGTACAATCAGCATCATCATTCATCTGCATTTTTTCATTGTCCATGTGTTAGATTTTATTTTTGACATTTCTCTTTCAAGATATGTAGTTGAAACAATTGGTTTTGTAACATCTTACCTCATGTATGTTGATGTTCTCAAACAGTTAATAGCAAAAAAACAACGAATAAATTACATTGACAGTAGATCTTCAGATATTGGAATAATTTTCTTACCAACTTTTGTTTGATTGTGTGTTGTATTTTTCTATTCTGCATCTACCGTTAATGCCTAGGTTTTCCTCTGCATCTATTGTTAATGCCTTTTCTGCATCTACTATTAATCCAGAGGAAAACTATGTGGTGTATTTTCTTACCAACTTCTGTATTTTTCTTTTGTTTTCTCCAATTTTCTTGTTATGTGATGAATGCTCCCAAAATTTCTGCAATTATCTGTGATTTAGCTCTCTGATTTAATCACCTAATGATCTACCCCCTGTTGTTTCTTGACTTCTAGGTGGACATAATGAGAGGAGTTGACGATTTTCATGTACCTGTTGTTTTCCTCTGGATTGATATTGCTGTGTAGCACAAGTGACTGCTTCTGTTCCACCTCCAGGTAATTCCCTCTGCCATGCCTCTGCCTCTCCCCTTTTTCCCTCTCCCATGGCGTTTGTGCCATGTTCTTCTTCCACCTCCCTCTCTCCCATGGCTTTTCTGCCTTGTTCTTCTCCCCACTCCCTCTCTCCAATGGCGTCTCTACCATGTCTTTCTCCTCCATGCCCCTCTTCCATGGCTTCTCTGCTTTGTTCCTCTCCCCCCTCTATCTGTCCAATGGGGTCTCTGCCATGTCCTCCTCCATGCC